AGGACCCCCCAAAACCCCCTCAGAACCCCCAAAAACCCACCAGGGACCCTTCAAAAACCCTCCACAACTCCCCCAAAACTCCCTCAAATCCCCCAAAAACCCTCCAGGATCCCCCAAAACCCCCTCAGGACCCCCAAAACCCTTCAGAAACCCTCCACAACCCCCAAAACCCCCTCACGACCCCTCAACCACCCCTGGCAACCCCCCAAAAAATCCCTCAAAAACTCCTCAAAATACGGGGAGGGTTCCTGAGGGGGAAATTGAGGAAGAACCCACCCAAAAGTTTCCCCCCCAGGCAGTTTTTTAGGGAAATAGAGCCCCAAAAGCACCCCCAGACTCACTTTTTTGGGGGAGGCACTTTGGAGAGGGGCTGAAGAACCAGGTCTACGTGCAGGGGTTTCTGTGGGGGTTTCTTGGGTCGCCGGCCTGAGGAGGTTCGGGAAGGTCAAAGCACCCCAAAATCCTCGGGAGAGCTCGAATTTAGGCAAAAAACCCAAAAGATCGCCCTCACCTTTGCGGGTTTTTCCCGTGTCCAGGAAGAAAAGACCCTCGTCGGGCTGCTCAGAGATCAAACCCCTGCAAAAGATTCCCCCCAAAAAAGCGGAGACCCTCATAAACCTCAAAATCCCCCAAAACTCCCTCAGAGCTTCCCCTTCCCCTCTCAAATCCCCTGCGAGACCCTCGGGGAGCTCCGGCACCCCCAGAACCGCTGGGAGCTCCCTCACGATTCTCCCCCAAAGCCCCTCACGACCTCCTCCTCACCCCGCCGCTCGCTCCTGCAGCCCCACATCCTCCAGGAAATCGCCGATTTCCCGGCCCAGCTGCGCCTCGGGGCCGCTCCAGCGCTTCCAGCCCTTTTTGCGGTTGCGGGGACCGCGGGAGCGGCGCCGGGAGCCAGCGGAGAGGCCGGACCGAGCCGCGGGGTTAAAGGCGAGGAACGACTCGGCCGCCGCCATTTCGTGAGGGAGCAGCGTGAGGGGAGAGGAAGCGGAAGTGGCCGAGGCGGAAAAAAGGCGGGAACGACCCGGCCGCCATTTTAGGGAGGGCGTGGCAACGGCGGCGCCATTTTAGGGAGGTCGTGGGGGCTGAACTTTGCCCCTAAATCGCCTTTAAAATGTTATAAAAACAAACCCTAATGTGCCCAAAACTCCCAAACGTGCCACGAGTCCTCCTAGGTGTGCCCAGACGTCCCAGAACACCGTAAGCAACAATGCTTGGGAGGAGAGGAAACGTTTCCTTCGCCATCTTGGGAAGGACAGGAAAAAAAAATATCGTCGCCCTCAGGGGACGGGAAATGATTTTGTGGCTTCCCGGTAAGGAGAGGAAACGATGCGGCTGCCGGGTCGGGAAGGACAGGAAATGGAGCCGCCGCCATCTCTGGGAGGACCGGAAATGACGGAGGAGCCATTTGGGGAAGGGCCTGGCACGGGCGCGACGCCATCTTGGGAAGGTCGAGGGCCGCCCTCAGCTGAGGGGGGGCCCAAGGAGCCCCAAAACCACTTAAAATGTTCCCAAAAATCCGCACAAAATGTTCTCCAAATCCCCCCAAAATGTTCTCCAAATCCCCCCAAAATGTTCCTCCCAAATGTTCCCCAAATCCCCTCAGATGTTCCCCAAAACGCCACAAAATGTTCCCCCCAAATGTTGCCCAAATCCCCCCAAATGTTCCCCAAATGTTCCTCAAATCCCCTCAGATTTTCCCCAAATCCCCCAAATGTTCCCCAAATCCCCCAAGTGTTCCTCAAATGTTCTCCAAATCGCCCCAAATGTTCCCCAAATCCCCCCAAATGTTCCTCAATTCCCCAAATGTTCCTCAAATCCCCCAAATGTTCACCAAATCCCCCGAAATCCCCCCAAAATCCCAAAATGTTCCCCAAATCCCCCAAAATCCCCCCCAGATTTTCCCCAAATCCCCTCAGATTTCCCCCAAATCTCCCAAATGTTCCTCAAATCCCCCAAATGTTCACCAAATCCCCTCAGATTTTCCCCAAATCCCCTCAGATTTCCCCCAAATCTCCCAAATGTTCCTCAAATCCCCCAAAATCCCCCCCAGATATTCTCCAAATCCCCTCAGATTTTCCCCAAATCCCCCAAATGTTCC